AGTTTAAGTTCCTATAATATAAACAATCAATAGGCAAAGTTTCACAAAAATCTCAGTGCAGGTTCTATTTAAGTGGAATGACCTTAAGCGGACACCCATGAGACACTCACTAGTGTCCGCTTAATAGAGGGTGTCAACTCTAAACAGCGTCTAATATAGATAATTGCAATGATCATCATCACCATCAGTTCTTGAGGTGCCAGTAGGCGCATAAGGCCGTGACATTTTCTGCCCAACAATCTCTGTTTTGTGTCGCCGCCTTGGCTACATTCCACGTCTTCCACCGTGCCCTATTTCTCTCTTTCTTGACAGTCCTTCTCCAAGTGGTCTTTGGTCTCCCTCTCACCCTTCGTCCTTCTGGTGTCCACCCCAATGCTGTAACACAATCGTTCTCACCCTCTCTCCTGAGTACGTGTCCTAACCAGTTCCACCTTCTTCCCCGTATCTCGTAACTTACGTCATTGACCTCAGCCAACTCCACCACTGTCTTGTTTGTCATTGTCTTCTGCCATCTAATCCTCAGTATCTGCGGCAGGCATTGGCATGGGAAACTGCAACTTTCGTTCATCAGACTTTGTGATCTTCCATGTTTCACAGCAATATACCAGGATCGATGGAACTAAAGTCTTGAATAGGCGTATTTTTGTTCCTTTTCCTATTCCTCTGGTTGTCCACACCTTTCCAAATCTTTGAAATGCACTACGAGCCTTTTGCAGTCTGATCTTAATATCTTTACTCTCCCCACCTTCCTTGTCTACAGTGGCTCCTAGGTATGGAAACTATTCAACATCCTCCACTTACTCACCATTCACCACAATGCTCTCCCTGTTGCTAGCATGCTCAGTCCTCAGTGTCTTGCACTTTCGCGGGTTAAGTTTAAGGCCTACTCTGGCTGCTTCCTCTGTCAGTCTCCCAGTCTTGTCGCTTAAGTCATTAAACTTGAACGATAGTAGGGCAATGTCGTCCGTGAAATCTAGGTCTTCGAGCACTGATGTGAAATTCCATCATATCCCTCTTCTCTTGTCTGCTGTTGTCTTCCTCATAATCCATGTCTCGCTTCTGTCAATAACTGCGCACTCAAAGCCCTCTTATACGTCTGCAATCACTCTCGCCATCTTGCATGGTATCCCATAACTTCTCATGATGCTCCATAGGCTTTCTCTGTGTGCCGTCAAAGGCTTTCTCAAAGTCCACAAAGTGTATGTACAAACCTGCCCTCCACTCATTTGCCTGTTCCAAGATGTTTCTAAATATAAAGATCTGTTCAATTGCGCCTCTCTTTGGTTTAAACCCAACCTGCTCCTTTCGCAGCTTCTTGTCTACACCTATCTTGATCCGCTCTAAAATCATCCTGCAGAATATCTTGGTAATGAGACATAGTAAAGTCACTCTTCTCCAACTGTTACAATCGCGCAAGTCACCTTTCTTGAATTTTTTGACGATAAGCCCTTTCCTCCACACTTCCGGCCATCTCTCAGTTTCCCAAAGCCTGTTATAACCCCTAGTCAACGTTCTTGCAGTGTTCTCCATTTCTGCAATCAGGAAATAACTTGGATGTCAAAGTTTATTAATCGTTTTCTTTCAACGTTTTCCCCTTTTTGCCTCGTGCCCATGTGACTCTCTTCACCTGGACAGGAGGATATGGAGGGTTTCTGCTGTATTCCTGTGTAAGGATTCTTCCCATTCCAATCCTAATGAAAATTCCTGTGTAAGAATACTTGGGATGCCTAATGTAAGATTCCTGTGTAAAGATTTTTCGCATTTCTGATTGTATTTTGTTTTCTCAACACTTTAGTAACGGCATGAAAGCATATTATTGCGTCACGCTACTTGGGTTAAACCAAGAAGCAAGTCAAATCACTCTAGACAGATCACACGGAACGGATTCGCACTGACTGGGTTTTGATTCTTCCGTATCATTTCAATCCGTGAAATGAAGCAAAAAAACAACACATTTATGCTTAAAGTTGGCTTTAATTACAGAGCCACGTAAAGGTCCCTCAAACGGAATCTGTTTTAGGAAACCCTTTTGATAAAAGGTCTTAAAAGTTGAAGTCCCAAGAGCCTAAATACAACTCTACCATCAGAAAAATCTAGAGATGCAATGAGCCGATTCAAAATTATCATATAATGCGCACTTTCTGAAAATAAGCAAGCAGGCATAAATAAAAAAAAAATAAAATAAAAATAATAATTGTCAGCAAGGGTCAGATTGAGCCAGGTCGTGTTAGATTGAATTGTATTCGTAAAAGTACCGGAAGTGAAAATGCGCTCCTGTTTGCTTTAGCTAGCGTTACACTTGCTGGGGTAACTGCAGAATACCCTGCC